CTGGACGTGATGGGACCGGGCGCTCCCGCCGACCCCGGGCCGCAGGGGCGTGTTGCGTTTGCTGCTGTCGGTACCGCAGAGAGAGGCGCGGGGATTCCGGTAGCGCCGGCTCAGCTTCGCACAGCTTTGGCGGCGGGGAAGGGCGGGTGCCGCGGGACGGGGCGCGCTGCCGGCTTGTGCAAGGGTGGTAAACGGGGACCGTAGTAGAGGCCAGACAGCGGCACCTGCTCGGGAGCCTGTAACTGGCAGCGCTCACAGGAGAAGCGCGACAGATTCGGAATTTCATTTCCACACAAGAAATAGGAGTATGGTGATCAGCTGTAGCATTATTTTTAAGTAGTGGGGTTAACCACCTAACGGTAAGTTAAAGGTATATATTAATTATCAAAGCCACGTTTTTCTGAATCTCTGTCTGAATACCTACTAAGGGTGGAGTTTAGATTTGAAGAATGCAAAAGCTCTCCAAAGCATAGTTCCACTGTGTGTTGTGGGTTAATCCTGGAAGGCAGCTCAGCCCTCACCCTCGCTCTTGCAGTGGCGATGGGGATAGAACCAGACAGGCAAGCATGGGTTTTCCTCTGGGCTTTGCCTGAGATAAAGACACTTTAAAAGATAAAGCAAAGCTGCATAGAAAACAGAATGTGTAATCTATACATCATGTCCCTTTAGCCAGCACGTTTCTAGCCATTTCCAGGGAATCAGGACTTCATCATGTTTAGAAGTGATTTGGGAAGCCATATGCTGTCAAGTTGCGTGTTTTCCCCTCTCCTCCTTCCCCCAGCTTAGATGGCTGACCATGGCATCATATGATGTTGGGTGGTTTGGTTCAGCAGTCCCAGCTGTGTTCCATGCAAACTTCTTGTGCCATGCAACTCCTGGGATGGGAGCCACAGGAGAAACAAGAGATGGCCTTGACTCTGCGTAAGTGGTAGCTAAACATTGGTGTGTTTGAAGCACTTGCTTTGGTCACAAAACACAACATCCTGCTAGGAAGAAAATTAACTCAGTCCCAGCTAAAAAAGTGCAGTGTGAAAGAAAAGAAGTTGAAATAACAGTCTTTTAAATGTCACACAGTTTTTATTTTGCCCGATCTGTTTGATTTTTCAAAAGACACAAAGTTTAAGTGTTTGCAATAGGAGGAGTTTGGCTTAGGGATGTACAGCACATTGTTAACGGAGATGTTTCTGAGTGTATACAGGGAAGTGTGGGGTTTGTCCGTTCTAATGGCACAAAATAAGTAAAACAACAGTATACTGACTGTATATAGTGTTGTATGACAACACTATATATTGTTCTAGCTTAGTGTCTTTGTATTTAGAATAGAAACAGACAGTTTGAATTATTTATAGTATTTTATTAGTGGAAAAATACTGCCTTCAGTTTGATCCTTCAAACAATGTGATTCTGACTTTGACATACTAGTGTCCTTCCTTTCTTGTAAGATCCAAAGAACCTTTCTGAAAAAAGGAAGCTATCAAGAGATTGGCAACAGGCAACTGAGGTAAAGATGATAAATGATTGTTAATATTTGTAATTCTTATTTAGGCACTAGTGATCTGTGGTTTTGCTTTTGACAAAAAATCATAAACAAAAGGATAGAGAATAACTTTTTTCAAAAATTGTAAGTTTTGTGAGGCTGTGTTTTCAGTGGGTGGTTTTTAGTTAGACCCTGGATAAGCAAGGATTAGGTTGTTTATTGTTCTTATACTGCTGAAGCTAATACTTCATATTAGCAACTGAAACTTGGCACTCACCTCTTGTCAGTTGCTCTTTATGCTTACACTAGACTGGGAGATAAAAGTAATAAGATGAGAGTTATGAAAATCTTAATGCAATGTAGACATTGTCAAGATACTGAAATGAGCAACATAAAAAGCCTTCAGCTGTCTCTGTGCAAACAAAATAAATTACAAAGGAAGGCCACAATGCAGAGAGTATGTGAGGGAGATTAATTATTTCTCAGGAATGACTCTTGAACTAAATTAGCAATTGATACCACCTTTTGGTAAGAACAGTGCTAGCTGGGGGGGGGGTTTGAAAGATCTTGGAAAAGAAGATCTGAAAATAGAAGCTAGACAGCAAAGGTGTAAACAACATCCAATTTGAAGGTGATTAAAAAAAACTCCATTTCAAAATTCTAAAAAGACAAGCTATTGGAAGAACCTATAATGGGAGATTAATAAATCTGTTGTGAGTGTAGTGGTACAATGTGGCTTCAGCATGAGTGATTCCTTGGTTTAGGATGGGGAAAAAAAGAAGATTCAGATAGATGAAAGTTTGTAGGTGCATTCTTGGTCCCATACAAAGTTTTAGAGTCAATTTTAGGACTGTAACCAATGAGATAAGGAGAAACACGATTAATTTGAGCAGCTCAATCGAGTGAGGGATGTCTCACATACAGCAAGGGGATTTGAACCAAATGATATTTAAAAGTTCTGTCCAACCCAAGCCATTCCATGATTCTAACCGTGTCAAGAGCTCTTTATTATGACCTACCTGCAGAAGAAAACACATTGTGTAACTGCACTTGCTTGGCTGATTGGGCAGATACATTAATTGTTGGCTGATGACAAGCTCAGATGTATCTGTGCAATATGTTGCATTCCAAAAAATATCCTAGCATGCATTAGGAAAGAAAATTTCCAACAATGAGGGCTTGTTAGTTGCCACATACATGTGGATAAGGTACAGACATTTCTAGTCTCCTGTACTAGAGTAATGGAAACTGAGCCAACTGCACAGAAATGATTGCTGAAGGAAGATTGTTTCTTATGACATGGTTTTACCTTGCATTCAACTGTTTTGTTGAAAGAAAAGGTAATGAATATGAAGACGAGGAGGTGATATTACTGTAGTCTATCAGGGTGGTGGGGAGGAAGAAAGCCTGTTTACAGTTAAGGAGAATACTGCAAGGTAGCCATTGATACCATTAGCTAAATTTAGCTAAATTTAAATTTAGATTTGTTAAAGCAAATGTGCATAATTTGTGTCATGGTTAGCTGCATATTAATTTGAATTAAAAAATGCAAGATTGAACTATATTGTTACTATAAAAGAGACTCATCTAAATATACTGAACACATACTTTTAAAGTTAAAACTTGCCATTTTACCCTCTCTGTAGTGAGGAAATACAAATGCAGTGTTCTTAATTACACTGTCTTTATGTATTTTATGACTACATATTTGTACTGTTTATTTCAGGAGTGCAAAATTAATGAGTTGTATTGGGGAAACCATGAATTTCACTTGTCAAATAATTACATATTTCATTTCTTTAAGATTTGGTGTTCTGATGTGTCTTTGAGCTCTTGATTTTGCTTTTTCTTGGCTTCTAGAACTTGCTGTTGTTTCAGCACTCTTACACAGTTCCTAATCAGAACCTGTATCTACATGTTCTAACTAGGCCTATAGCATGTTATGTTAAAAATGTTTGTCCAAGAAATACAGATATAGATATATATATATAGATAGATATAGATATATATGTATATATATAGTGTATTTTTCTAATTCCTTTTAAGTATGTGTGAGAACTGGATTTATATCAACTGTAAGATTAATTTTCAGAAGAAAATTTAAGTAGCCTTAAAAAAATTGATGAAAAATGTTTGATTTGCTTCAACAACTCCATACTCACTTACATACTTGTAATTGTAATTAAGTTCTTGCAACACAACTGTGTGCTTCACTCAAGAGAAGGAGAACTTGTTTTTCTGGTAGGTGTGGCTGCTGTTACTGACATTAAAGAGCAGCAGCTGTGTGAAATAAAATGTGCCAGGAAGGGTCTTAGGTATTGTACCACTTTTTTTTTCTCTCAGTATTGTTCTGTATTGAACAATTATTGCAATTTACCTTAAAGGTATTTAAGTTTTTATCTGTTTCAAATAAACAATTAGTAGATTATTTTAGCAAAATAACTTAAAAGTGAACGGAGGACTGAACAGAACTTCACTCGGCTATCTGCTTTAAAAGGTACCTTTTCCTTTCCAGTGTTTGCTGTTCAAAACACAGTTGAAAAGATATATTTTTTCTTGTTAGTTATTTATTGCTAGCAAAAGTAGAAGAAATAACAGGTAATAAATTTAGTTTGTTATTTACTGTTTCATGTTTCTTTAATTAAAAAATATTTATTCTGTAAGACAGAACAATATTTTAAGTATAGGTAAAATCAAGGGTAAGAATGCTAAATGTGACCTCCTCTATGTTGTAAGAATGCTAAAATATCCTTGGAATAAGAATGCTTGGGGGAAACCTGTACTTTAGAACATTTCATAAAAAGACTTAAAATGTTTGAGTTGTTTTCAGTCACAAATCTCCAGCGGGAAGTTGTATGGCAATAGCAGACTCTTACTATGTATTTGAAGTTCTGCTCTCAATTTTAAGGATTTATGGGGAGGACTCTCCATATTCAGAGATAGAAGATTCAGTATATTCAGAGATAGAAGATTCAGTGATTTCTGCTACTCCTTTTCTGCTTTGTGCCTAGTGTGATGTAGTGAGATTTTTGGTGCCCCTATGACTCTTGTCTGAAAAAAAGTTATTGGGAGCTATCAAAGGCTACTGTAAATCACATCAGCCTTGGCATATGGGACATTCTCAAGGGTGTATTGTGACTGTGGTTCTCTCTAGTTCACTTTTTCATGAAAGAGCAATTGTGAAAATATTGTACATTATTTTGAAGGCATGGGTAATTATTTTTCGCCTGCTAGAAACATTTTCGTCATCTTGTGCAATAACATCAGTTCATTCCATGCTGGCATTTTACTTCACGCTTCCTGCTGGCAGTTGGCTCTCTTCTACCAATCCAGTTTTCTGATCCAGTTTTCTGATGTGAATTTGATTAATCTGGGACACTTTTTCCCCAAGAATCTGTGGTACAAGCAGGCATTTGAGAAGACTTGCTGTCACTTTTCTGTTTATGGATCATACCTGAATACCTAAAGATGAATTTGTAGAGAAAACTTTCATCTAGGTTCCACTTGCAGAAATGAGTGCTTCAGAGTGCCATAAATTCCACCCACTCAGGCATTAACACTTGGGGCACAAGTGCTGCTGAAGACTTCAGTCATCCTACCTGTTCCTGCAGCAGCAGGAGTTGTAAGCCGTAACCCCCAAATCATGCCAGGAGCTCAGCCAGCATTAATGCAGTGTGAGGAGGCCCAGATCTCTCATAAGCATTAATATGAGATAACCTTTCCTGTAACTCCTGCCATGTACATGGCTACGTAGGGTAAAGTGGCTAATTGAGACTGAGTTTTATACCTGCATAGGTTTCACCTGCCTTCTGCTGGATTGTATGAACTGACTTTCTTCTGTGTGTATGGTCTCATCTGTGGTGATCTGCAAGTTAGGTAACTCATAAATTAGTGATTATATCTGGATCATCATATGTAATCCCCATGTAGCATGCTTATTATGAACTTGATTAATTCTATATACTTTTAATTTATCTGTCTCTAGCCTGTCTGTGAGAAGTCTGGTTGAATTTGGTTTTTTTTAAATGTAATTTACATACACACTGTGTAGGTGGAAAAAAAGAAAAGCTTTAATTACTAAATTCTAATTTAATTAGAATTACTGTCTAGTTATTAAATTGGATATTCTAAAATTTAGATTATTAAAAAAAATACTCCTTGTATTGCTATATATAGGTCTCTTGTGTTATTCTGCAGAACCCTCCACTGTACAGAAACTGCTCCACACATCTGACAAATAGAGGACTGTCACATACAGTATCCTACGTATGGGATACTGATTCTGTGACTGATTTTTCATAACAGCACAGTCTCTGAGTAAGTCAGTGCACCATGATAGAGACTTGCCACACGCTTGTTTTGTGAAATTCTTTCACAATTCTTTGAATTGTGAAATTCTTGAGCAATGATCATGGGTCAGTATTATCGTGTCATACATTGTCTTTTCTTTTCTGCAGATGCGGCAGCATAAAGTACAAGGACAAAGAAATTTACATGCACATTTAGATACATACATAATGTTGTGTGCTGGGAAAAAAACTTACTTTGCTGCTGCTGTGTGCATTATTACTTTAACTTCAATGCTTGCAGTTTATCTGAGGTTACAGGGACTTTCCCATCAGCCAAAAGTAATTCAAGAAGGCAGAAGATGTAGAGGGAATATTGCCAATAGCACAATAACAGCATTAAAAGATAACAAAACTTTTATTATATCCCCATACTTTGATGACAGAGAAAGCAAAGTCACTCGTCTGATTGGGATTGTTCACCATGAAGAGGTAGAACAACTGTACTGCTGGTTCTGCTGTCAGCCCAATGGAAAGATATATGTATCAAAAGCAAAAATTGATGTTCATTCTGATAGATTTGGATTCCCTTATGGTGCAGCAGATATAATTTGTTTGGAACCTGAAAACTGTGATCCAACACATGTATCAATTCATCAGTCTCCACATGGAAATATCAATCAGCTGCCAAGGTTTGAAATTAAAAACCGCAAGGCTGAGACCTTTTCTGTTGACTTCACTGTGTGCATTTCTGCCATGTTTGGAAACTACAACAATGTCTTGCAGTTTATACAGAGTATGGAAATGTACAAGATTCTTGGAGTACAGAAAGTGGTGATCTATAAGAACAACTGCAGCCATCTGATGGAGAAAGTCTTGAAGTTCTATATAGAAGAAGGAACTGTTGAGATAATTCCCTGGCCAATAAACTCACACCTCAGGGTTTCTTCTGAATGGCACTTCATGGAAGATGGAACACACATTGGCTACTATGGACAAATTACAGCTCTGAATGACTGTATATACCGTAACATGGAAAGGAGCAAGTTTGTGGTCCTTAATGATGCTGATGAAATAATTCTTCCCCTTAAACACCCAAACTGGAAAACAATGATGAACAGTCTTCAGGAACAAAACCCAGGGACTAGCGTTTTCCTCTTTGAGAACCATATCTTCCCAGAAACCGTATCATCTCGTATGTTCAATATTTCATCTTGGAATACTGTGCCAGGTGTTAACATACTACAGCATGTATACAGAGAGCCTGACAGGAAAGATGTAATCAATCCCAGGAAAATGATAGTTGATCCACGAAAGGTGATTCAGACTTCAGTCCATTCTGTCCTACGTTCTTATGGGAAAAGTGCGAATGTTCCCATGGATGTTGCCCTCATTTATCACTGTCGGAAGGCCCTTCAAAGCGACCTTCCCAGAGAATCTCTCATCAGGGATACAACACTGTGGAGATATAACTCATCATTAATCATGAATGTTAACAAGGTGTTATCTCAAACCATGCTGCGAGCTCAAAAGTGAAACCTTGGTTATAAGGAGTGAAAGTGGAGTGCTACCTGTATTGTGGGAAGACAGAGGATATCCTTTAAAGATCATATTAAATTGATTTCCCCACAGAGTTTACATTTTGCTGCAATTATTTAGGGAATCTATAGCAAAGCCATGAATCATTTAATGATATTACAGATCAATGTAGATTGCAGTATTTCTTCTGGCAAATGTACAATTTGTTTTCACTTAAAACAATAATAAAAATCAGTATCTGTCAACTGATTCAAATAATGCAGGGCAGTTTTCAACCTATATACAAAAAGCACAAATACAGTAATTTGATTAAAGGTAGCATTGCTTAATTCTTGCAGTTTGTATGTCACTGGGTACCAAATTTGTATGCATCAATTTGAGTAAAAGGTAGACAAATAATTGAGCACAATATTCCTTTCAGTTGTAAAAAAATTACCCCCTTATGTTCTTGGAAATAGTGTATGTTAAAGACGTGATGGATTGTAACACTAAACACAGCTGTTGAAGTTTTGCTGATAAAAAATGTTTTGTTCAACTGGGCTTTGCAGAGATGTAACATTGAGAAGAGTGATCACACCTGTTATGAATTACTAAAGCGTTAAGTGCTGAGTTGTGTTGGAAAGCTTTTAATAGAGGCAAGGGATACAGATTGATATTAAATATGATACTTCTGTGGACTTTAAAGAACCTATTTCGAGGAGGGAAAAATAGATGGCCAAACAACTTTTATGAAACTTAATAGTTTGTTGGGTTTTTTCCCGGCACCTTGAAGCCTCATAGGAAAATGTTTCATGAAATTTAGACACAAGTTGGATTTTAGTCCTTTATGTGATGGGTAAGTTAAATTATATTGTTTCCTTCATAGGCATTAAGGATACAGACGCTGCATTTTTTCCAACCTCTATCTGGAAATACTGCTAAATAGTGACTTTTGCTGAAGGGTTGGATGGAAAACAAAGCAAACCATAAAAACCATTTGCTCACTTCTGTTTTCACAGTTTCAGTTTCATAATTTCAGTTTCTGTTTGATAACCCCCCAGAACTACATGCATTGCATATGTTGTGGTGATATAATTAGAATCTTCCTACTGAAGGCACATCTGAAGGCAGCAATAGCCTGACACTCTGGTGTCTGACAGAGAGAAGAGCATGTCTGAGCAAGTATGCTTTTTAAAATTTCTAGATTAATGTCATGCTTTCATTCCTTTATCTACTTGGTAGTGGCACGTACCTGTGCTCTTAAGGAGCTCTGTCACTAGTGGATTAGCATCATTAGCGGATGTCCAAAAGAACTTTTACTGTGCTTCACAGTGACTGCAGCATCTCCCAGTCTATATCAACAAACTTGCAGCTATATTACTATCTGAAATGCCTGCTGCTGTCAGTCACACAATCTTGTGTAGCAACAGGTCCATTTAGAATTTCAGACTTGTTATTTAAAAGGGGCATCTGAAAGTCCAAGTCCCTGTTTACAGCATGGTGTGCTCAGGACTTTGGGAAGTCTGGGCAACGTGTTTCAGTCTTAAACTAACTTCACTGTGGAGAATTTCTCTTGTAAGAACACTGACCATTGTCTTGCTGCATGATGCTGAAATGAGTCTCACATTGTTTTCTTCATAGCTTACTAGCTGGAGACAGTAGCAGTGCTTCCCCATCCCATGCCCACCACCTTCCCTTTCCCCACTATTCTTTCTGGAAGGCCCAGCTTGGGTCTCAGTTTCTCAGCCATCTTGTGCTCCACCTCTCTGTGGACTTTGCATGATTAAGGTCACTAATAAAAGTAGTTAATCAAGTTTTCCTGTTTTACTGATTTGGAAACAAGGACATTTCTGTCACACCTCTGTTTAATCTTTCAAGTTAATGCAGTTCTGTATAGGTGGCTCCTTCAGAAGAAGCTGAGTTACTGCACACATAACAATACTGTTGCATTACTCCTACATTAAGAATGATGAGAACTGGGTTTCAAGACAAGTTATTGAAAACTTTCTTTTTCACGGAAGCTTTTTTCACTTTGTAGCGAGACAACAAAAGCTCGCTTTTGCTAGCTCATCATTTACACCCCACACAGTGCAGTTTGAAATGAGAGTTATGAATTTGGCTTCTGGTTGATAAAATCCTTGAGTACAGACAAGATTTTTTCAAAGTAAATTGGTATGCATAAACTGAGTGCTTAAGAGTCTGGCCTTGTATTTAAGAGACTGCTCCACTTGTGCCTTCATGCAACTCCTACAGCATTGCTCAAATTACTGATTCTTGCATATGAAAACTCCCCTTCATTGGTATAATTCATACTACATACATTTGGGAATCTTGGCCTTGATTCAGTATTAAGTATGAAATCAGGTCTCCTTGAATAGTGTGAAGAAAAAAGTCACACCAGTAATGCTACTAGATAGTTTTGTCTTTTCAAGGGGAGCTAGTCTTCATGAAAACTCATGCTCTCAAGTTGTGTAAAAAAAATTGACAGGGAAGGGAAGGGAAGGGAAGGGAAGG